AGTGGTTTAGTAGGCATTTCATTGTTCTTCTTGTGTCACTGTTTCAGGACAGCACACAAAATGGATATGTGAATCCATTGATTTTGAATCATTTGGATGATGTTGAAAAAATCAAGGAGATAAATTGGTGTGACCACGCACTCAATTGTCTAATTGATAGTAAAGTATCATGGGAGAAAAAAAGACATGGCATTTACTTGTCCATTGCTATTTTTAACGGTAAGTTTAACAACTAGAATTAATATCATTATTGCAGAATGCGTGCATATTTTTATTCATATCTTGCAAAGTGCAATAACAATAAATTGTGGTGCAATTGTTCTATGTGGACAGAGTGGTGTTGTACATGAGAAGAGTGGATATGACTTTACCTGTGCTCAAAGGGTGGAATGGAAAGCTTCTTAGAGAGCGAGAATTGCTTGAAATAGAGAGTGGCGGCTTCGGGATGGGGTACTGTGATGGCCCAGTGATATTTGAAGAGTGTTCGAAGAAGGTTGAATTAAAAACTGGGAAAGAGAGAGATCATGAAGGTGGAAGTGGACATGTAGTAGAGGTGCAGTCTACTGGTGGGGACAATGATGAGGTAAGGGTAACTAAATTTATGATTCTGTTTTCCTAAATTTAGCATCTATTTGTGTGCAAGTGTGTAAATGAAAGGGGAATTAACTTGAATGTATAAAAACATGAATATGTTAAGAGATTTGCACATAAAAGCAAACTGTTGGCATCAGCTGTGATTGATGTGTTGAAGATGTTTGTAGAAGCACCTAAGACCTTAACTGAAAAGGAAAATTTCGTAAGGATCCAAGAAGCTGCACAAGAATTGATTGGTGCAGGGAGGAGGAAAAGAGCAGTAGATCGTAGAGAAGAAACAGATGCGAGAAGTACTCAGGAGAGAGAAGATGATGCATTCTGGGCTGAAACCATTTCTGCAGTGGAGAGAGTGGAAAATGCTAATCAGAAAAAGACTTTATACGAGAAAGGAATTGAAGAAACTCATTCTTTTTCAATTGGATTGACACAAGAAAATAAAAAGCAGTTTACCAACATATCTCATTTGTGCGCTTAAATTGAGAAGGAAGTGTATGATGATTTGGTATACACATAAACACTAACTCATATTATATTTAATGTTTTTTAAAAAACAATATAATAATTTTACATTTTGTTGAAGGTTCAAGGAGAAGAGAATGTAACAAGGAAGACGGAGAAGGGGAAGGAAGCAATTGTGACAGAAAATATTGTGGAGGTAAATAGAGTAAAAATATTTTTAGAGTATTCATTTTTTAATAAAATTAAGAAGATCAAAATGTGCATTTTGATAGGTGGAATCTGCAGTGTTTACTATTAATTTGAGCATATAATACTTACTGTTTAAAACTAAAAGTAGTATCTTTATTTTAACTTTTATGAAGGCTCATGAAGATGGAGATGTTAGAAGTAAGAGTGTGAAGGGGAAGGAAAAAATTGGTGAAGTAAGTAAACTTTAAATATTTTCAAAGTATTAATTTTTATTTAGTGAAAAAGTTATAACAACCAAATTTGCAATTAGTTAGGTGTGACTGTGCATAAAGCATTAATAATTTTAGCATTTCATATTAATATCGTAAACTAAAATAAGTATCATTATTTTATATTTTTTTGAAGGTTCGAGTAGAGAGCGGTGTGAAATCCGTGGATGTAAAGGGAAAGGCAAAGATTGTTGAGGTAAGTAACGTTTACATATTTATGAATGGAAAACTTGATTGTTTTTTAATAGCTAAAGATCCTAGGTTGCATGTTATTTTGTGGTAGCATACATATTGAATGATTACATTATTTAAAAAATAATGACATGTCATTGAAAAGTGCATTTAAATTGTAGAACATGGAACTGGACACAAGCACTTCTTTGGTTATAGGAAAAAGTGAATTGGAATTGAGATTAAGACGGAGAGGAAAAGCAGTTGAAGTTACGAAGTCTCCTTTTATGGCAAGAGCAGTTGACCCTAATTAGACCTCACGCGCAAGTGAAAAGTTGATGTGGAAATGGGTGATGCAACAAGGGGCTAATAAGAGGTATAACATATAATAAAACGTTGTCAAGCATAAAACTTTATAATGTTAATGTTAAACATAAAAATAAGTTATCTATTGTTTTGTGCACAATTAGGGGCGAGATTCTGTTCAAGTACAAACAAGTTTTAGTGACGCGGGGTGACATGCTTAGCCTAGAGGATAAAAAGCACATGAACATGAATGTGTTAGATGCGTGGACAATCTGTTTGAATAATAATGAGAAACCACGAAGTAAAACATCACCTTGCAGATTGTTTGTGAAATCATATCCCTGTGTAAGTGTGATGAAAACAAATGCATTACTTTGGTTACAAAAGTGCATATTGTGATAAAAGTTTTTGCAGCTGTACACAATGGCTGGCCGAATCCCAGAAAACAAGTCTTACGAAGTGTTTAAAGAAGGAATGAAGGTGGCATTGGAATCAGTTAAACCTGATGTAAAAATGGAAGATGTTGATTTGGTAAATATCATTTATATTTGTAAGCACAAATAATTTCTTTTAGTGCAATCGTATGTATATTATAGTGAAATGTCTTCAATGTGCAGTTTTTCTTTCCGATTGTTCAACCACAACATTGTTATGTTGTGGTTTTGAACATGAAAAAGAAGCAGGTCGAAGTCGTGGACAACTCCTCGGTGGACATGCACTTTGACGAAAAGTATGGTGAAATGCCGTATTCCCTGGTAAGTTTAGTGCACAATTCACATAAAAATGAAAGTTTGAATGTATACTATGGTTTAAACAAGTTTTGTATATTTTCATTTAATAAACTGTGCGTTGAAAATGTTGAAAATAGAGAGACGTGTTCGTTGATTTCTTGAGCAAAATGGAACTGGATAGGGACGACAACACATTTTACACACATGCTTTGACAAGATTGAAGATGAGGTGGAGGGAACCGAGGAATATATGTGTATGATTATGGAGTGTGGAGCATGAAACATATGGAGATGTACATGGACCAAGGGACGAGAGGATGGGATTGTGGAGTGAAAAAGGTGATGTAAAGGCACTCAATGCAGTGAGAATGAAATATTGTGCATCAATTTTGACATCAGGTATTAACGAGGTCAAGGACAACCACTTGAATGCGGTGAAGGAATCAGGGAAGGGGAACAATTTGATGAAGTAGACATGAAGGAATACTTTAGCACTCTATATTTACTATGTTTCTTGCAAGGATTTTTATTTATAAACGGTTGACGTTTTGAAATGTGAAATGGCTTGGACGTTTGTTTGGTGGTTGGAAGCATATTAAATAGGTTAGTATGCAAAACTAAGTTTTGAGATTAGTGTGGCAATTTTTTGACAATTTCATATGCCTTATTTGTTGATCATTATGAACACATATTGGTGGCATTAATACAATGGATAATTTGATTTTGTTGGTTACCGACACAAATTGGTTTGTTTGGATTTAACGAAATTTTGTTTCTACGTAATTCTGTGAGTTGAGTTACCATGTTATATGAAAGCATATAGGCTCAAGTTATGAACTTTTTAAAAGTAATCGTGCATATGTATTATTATGTGGGTACTTGTTTTTTTAAACATGCACAATTTGATTAAACCATTGAAGTATTTGGTTAAAATCGTGCACTACTCAATCAATACATGAAGAATGCATTGTCATATGTATTGTATTATTATTCTAGGGAACTACCAAATAAGCCCTCGAACTTTCATAAAAAGTGCAAATAAGCCCTTTTATAGGAGGCTCTGTCCGGCCGTTGCCTTTTGCGGAGGTTCCCGGTATAACTTTTTGATGAAATTCTTTGAGAATCTTTTTCATTAAGTCTAGTTTACTCATACCATATTTCAGATAAAAATTCAATCGGGAAGACAGTCAAAAGAATTTTTGAAGATAACTGTGCAGTTAGGCAGCGCAGTATATTTCAGAAACTCATTTGACTTATTTATCGATTAAATTTTTATCTGAAATTTGGTATGAGTAAACTAGACTTAAAGAAGAAGATGCTCAAAATATTTCATCAAACAATTCCACCGGAATCCGCCCCAAATGTTGATAGCCGGACAAAGCCTCCTGTAAAAGGGCTTATTTGCACTTTTTATGAAAGTTCGAGGGCTTATTTGATAGTTCTCCATATTATTTTCAAAACAGGAATAATTTATTTTAACAATGCACTATTGGGTAAAACAAATGAACGATTTGGTGATAACAATGCAATGCATAGTTATAATTTTTTTAGGAAGTTGGAGGAAACAAATTGCCACAGGAACAAAAAAAAGTGAATATAAAGTATTGCTAACAACTAAGTACATACTTCACAAACAATACTAATTTATAATCTTCAGTAATACAAACACCCAAAAAAAATAGAACCAATATATTAAAAAGAATAATCATTCGTACGGGTTAAAAAGACAATTACTAAAAAAGAATAAAAAGGAGAAATCATTCCTCCAAGTTCAAAAACAATTAGTAAACATGAATAAAAAAGAATGACTATTCCTCCAAGTTAAAAGGACAATTCCTACTGTCATGATACTCTTTTTGATTACATATTCTACATAATCTCTTAGTCTTTTGGGTCACTTCAATTGCCTTTTCCTTGCTACCTTTAAGCCTCTTACCACAACCCTTATTTTGAGCATGATGAGGTGGATGCACGCTAACTTCAGTAGGAATGGATGACCCATAAAAGCCTTTGATGACATCTCTTTTTGAAGATGTTGTTGCACTACTAGTTTGAGAGCTAGACAATAATTCTTTTTGCGCCTTAATTGCATCTGAAAACTGCTTCAACAAATGAGGTTGCTCGTCAATCATTCCAATACAAAAATTAATGTCAGACCACAATGTCTTCATAGTTAGGGTTTGCTCTTCAGTGTCAACACACTGCTGAAAAACACCATCTTCAAATGCATTAACAGGCTTTAGAATTGAATCTTTGCATCATCGACGTAGCAAATACCTATCTGGAATTGCATTGACCTTCTTATCTTTCAAAACATAATATATGTGACGACACAATATTCCAAGCCTTTCAAAATGTTTGCAGGAGCAAAGTGTAGTACCGTCACTAGTGTTGTGCACAACAGTGAAACTAAAACCTCGATCATCTGATATGATATACTTAAATACGCAACCTTCATGTTCGAGACTAAAAACAGCACAAGAAAAGCAAGCACAACATATTTCCTTCTGAACGAGATAAAGATTTGAATGATTATAAACAGAGGAAGCATATCTCTCAATATGTAACGGAGTCTTGTACTCAGGAATGGAGGACTCAGAAACTTTGGTCAATTGTGCACTCTTATGTCTTTTCAAATCCATTGCACTCTCAAACTGCATGTAAAACTCAATCATACTGAAATTAGGATTTGTGATTTCATTGAGAAAATTATTTTCACTCTCAGAACGTGATGTGGTCCAAACAAACCTGCCATGAAAATGTCACCAAAATAAGCAGGAATCCACAGGCTCCTAATCTCAAACATGTGTGAGAACCAATATGATGAAGTAAGTCATATTCTTTCATCAAATTAGTCCATCTCATCTCATGTTTAGCTGGCTGCAAGTAATTACTCCACACAATAGAATTCAATTCCTTAATAAAATTGGAATCTTTACTCAAAACCGGTCCAACTTTCGAACTCACCTTAGACATAATATGCCACATGCAAAATTTGTGACATGCTGTAGTAAAGACCTGTGGAATGAAAATTTTCATGGATGGATCTTGATCTGTTATGATGCACTTTGATTCCCGACCTATCGCATTTAAAAAACAACGAAAAAACCAAGCATAAGATTCCATATCCTCTTTCAACAACAAACCCACACCAAAAGTAATGCACTTTTTGTGATTATCAACGTCAGTGAAAGGGGCAAAAACCATGTTATACCTGCGTTGAGACATAACATTTCAGAAGTGCATTGAATAATATTAAAACGTGCATTAATATTAATTTTTTAATGCGAATTAGAAATAAGTGTGAATAATTTAATTTTAAAAGTGCATTACCATTAATTTTTAATGCAAAACATACGGGAAACAACATTGTAACATGAAAAGAATCATACAACAAATAAAATCAATCAATGGAATAATTAATTATAACAATACATATTTGTCTCATATGTAGCATCAAAAGAAACATCCCCGAATAAAGCATAGTTCTTTATGCACACTGGATCCGCCCAAAATAGACGTGTCAACTGGTCACTCTCATCAACATCATAGTCAAATGAAAACGCTGAACAAATCTCTTTCTTTCTAAATAGCTTATCTATCAACATTTGGGCATCCACGCCCACTAGATAAGCCTTCAAGTTATGTTTAAAATTCTTAAAACCCACGGACGTAGCACCAATATTGGCATAACCCCCAACAATTTCTTTATACAATCGGTATCATTTCACTGTATCGATATTTGCTTTAGCAGAATTCAGAATTTTTTTTTGATGACCAATGTCAACTTTCCTATTCACTTTTAAAAATGGCATTGAAGAAGGAGAAGACATACAATGACTATGCCTCTCCTCAAAGAATGCAATTTTGTATCTACTCATGCCTGCAAGCCTAAACACCACACGTGCTTTGCAATCACACCTATTATTAATTGTGCGTCTTTTTTTCTCATCATCATCAACACATACGCCCGGAGTTGGTAAATCTTCACCGTGCGGTTGGTCTTCATTTTCAGATCCATCAGATTCTTTTTCACTAGTGAAATCTTCATTTCCATTACTAAGCTGATTATTTAAATCAACATTCTTACATGAATCACTGTTAAATGCAACCGTCTTTTTGAAGCCCTGTCTATTACACACCATGTCTTTCCAAACAATAACGCCATCACGAGCCCTATGTTGACTGCTTTTACGTGATTCAAAACCACAAATTGATGATGCATACTGATCATAAAAGTGCATACCATCATGTAAGTTATTGAACAACATACCAACATGCGGTTTAAAAGCAGGGTCACACTCAGGTTTCCAGTACATAGTGGATCCCGGAGAAACTTGCATTGTATTAACATCAAACGATTGAGAAATTGCTTCAGAGGCACTGAAGTTAACATCACTTGAACCTGATTAAACCATGCACACAAATAATTCACCAACACATACTTTAGCACCCAGAGAACAATAAAAGTGCAATTTAAGAACGCATATAATAGCATCATAATAAACTTTATAGTGAACAAGCAAAAAAATCAGAAATTTTAATATGAATACAACCCCATTTTTAAAAGATTGATATACGTTAAGAAGCATTAAGCTACAGGCACAAAAATTATTAAAAAACACATGCTTTGCACAAAGCCACTAGAGAAAAAGTGCAATATCCAAACACATATGCATCATAATACACTTTATAGTGCACTACAAAATAGAAAAAAATGAGTTTTAACATAACACAGTTTTTACATACATGATTGATATACATCAGGAAATGGTAAACTACACGCGCATGACGTTTACGATATTGAAACAACGTAAGAATCATACATCAAAATTCTAGAGTACCATGTCCAATTTGTATAGTATGTGAATCCATAAAGAAATAATATTTACACATATATTCATCCAAGAACGTAAAACTTGGATAGTTTAAACAATGAGAAAAATCAAATAAATGATACTTACTGAACTCCATGGAAGAACGTTAGGTTGGAGCATAAAACCCACAACAGATGGAGCACCAAACAGAATACCTTAGGTTCTAACTCGAAAAGGAAAAACAGAGCAACGAAATACGATCAATACGTTCTCTGTCAGATGAATTTCGAACAATACGTTCGCACAAGGTGAGAAGAAGAACGCAGGAGGAAGTGGTATAAAAAAAAGAACGCAGGAGGAAGAGTCTCGCAGGAGGAAGAATTTCGCAGGAGGAAGACAAGTTTGGAAAGAATCGTGGAGGAGCGGTTAAGGAAGGAAACATGCAGCGTGAAATTAGGAAACGTTGGAACGTATTAACGGAATTTACTTGATTACCCTCTAGGGTTATTTAGGCGCACAGTTAATTAAAATCTAATCCAACGGATGATATCTATTCTTTTTTGCTCTTCTAAGATTACATTCTCACATGAACCTAAACCTATATAATTCTAATCTATATAATTCTTTATTAGAATGAGACAAAACATATCTAGAATGCACAAATTCAAAAAATCATATTTTGAAAATTTACCATGAGACAAACGTAACAATGTTTTTTTAAAATAATTTACTAAGACCTTTTTATCAATATTACTAAAATAAACGGAAAAGACAGATATATGTCCTGTTTTAAAATTTTCCAAAAAAGTGACCAACATTCATTTATTTCTTGTATTTAGGATGTTTTTACTTGGACTGTTTTCAGTCCCAGACCAGACCAGACCTGACTTTCGTAGTTATAAAATATACAGAGATCAGATCAACAAATTTCAATCCAAGTAAAAACATCCTTAATATTGCATTGATTATTGTAATATTCCTTTTATATATTTGATTATTAGTCTCTTTTCTGTAGCCACCACAACAACCCCATCAACACCACTGCTACCGGCACCACCAATGCCGCCGCCACCTTCACCAGTCACTAACCCAGTGACTTCCGATCACTAACCATTGATTTATGCCCAACTTTGGTCACTAGCCACTGACTTTCACCCAATTCCGTTCACTAACTCTATGACTTCCGACCAACTCCGGTCACTAACCCAGTGACATCGCCGCCGATGACACGTAGACTCTGGTTACAGGAACGTAGTGACACTGCCAACCCACCAAACACCCCCGCTCCGACCCGCTAGCCCCTACCCCTGTCCCACAGACCAACCCTATACATCAGCCTCCACCCTCAACCGCACCACCATATGTAACCGTAGCCCTAGATTGCCGGCGCCGCTTGTCATCCTAGCTTTAACGACTGCCAAAATCGCAGATCCTCGTCTCCTTAAACACCAATATGTTCAACGCCGTCATTCACCATCCAGAAAGTTGATCAACTCATCAACACCGATCTACTCAATTGTGACTGCGATGATGGTGATTGAGCAACAACCTATACGAAGTGGCGAAGCCACGACATGTGTAGCGAGCGGAATAGGGCGGACCGGCCATTGATGACGACGCCTAGATAATCTTCAGTTGCAGTGATGGCGATGGCGGGTCGGGTAGGACAAGCAGCGGCGACGAAGAATGAGAAGAAGAAGAGTTGTAGTGGGGCGTCGGCGGCTGGAGTTGGTCACCATTGCCTCTCGTGTTCTAATCGTTGATGTTCATCTCAAAAGGTTGGTCATCACCGTTTATTGGTTGAAGAAGATGATCGAGGGATTTATGAAGAAGAGGAGAGGCTAGGTCAAGTGGGAATATACGAGTTAAACACATCATTCTATGTTTTGGTCACTTTTTAGTCCATTTAAAATATTGTCATATTTTTGTCAACTAGAAGTCTATTAGTAATATCTAGGTCTTTATTACATTAATAAATAAAACGTCGCCAAAATAGAACATGCAAATAATGTAAAATTCAACATGTTGCACTTATTTAAAACCAAGGGAAGCAATATACTAAGCTAGTATAGTACGTGCATCCCCACAGGTTGTTATTTTGTACGTAGTAAATTATAATTTAATGTAAATTAATTTCTTTACATATATAAAACCAAGTCCTGCAATGTTTCAAATAAATAATGGAATGATCACATTAAACATTATTATAAAAATTTAAAGATCCGGTAAGAACTAAACTATCGATTAGGAATATTGATGTAGATAATAAAAAAGATGGACCTCATAAATTACATGTAATGTAAACCTTTTCAAAGATAATAAACAAAGATTCAAAAATTGAAACAAAAACTACTTTTAAAAATAATTTAATAAATTAAAAAGATGAAAAAAGTAATTATAAAATTGTGATTCGATATGAACATTGCTACTGCTCACCACAGTCCACCATAAAAAGGAAATTACTCCATTAGATGTTCTAAATTTTTCAAAAGGAACTACATATAAATGTAATGGAATTAACACTCATAATAATTAATCGAGTATCTTCAAATTCAATAAGTTGGATAAACTCTAAAAAATCACTAAGTGATGTTAGAAATGTGGTTTATAAGCATATACTGAAGAAAGAATCTTACAGAATCTATAATAACTTTGTACTCGATTTTTACAACATTAACTTGCACCAAAAAGTTTAGGGGTAAAATAAAAAAAGTGAATGGTGTAGCAAAATGTAAAAATTAAAAAAGAATGCAGAAAAGTATGAGATTAAAGATGAAATGGAAGCAAAATAAGGATGCTTAAATATTATTAAACGAAAATTATCAAAAGAAAATTATTCCTGCGTATAAAGAATTTGGTAACATCGGATGTTGGCTAAAGGCCAACGGTCCTCCGATGCTTAAGTTAGTGATCACTTATAGGTTAATGAAAGTAATAAATTAAGAATACGTATATGAAACTAAATAAATATCTATCGTCAGAACCTGTCTATAGTCAGACGATTTCAACCATGTCGTCCGATGATTTC